ATGGGCACAGACAAATATACCAGAGTGCTTTGGCAAGGATACACAGCAATCTTAGATGGATGCCCTTCTGGGCCTCAAAAGTGATTACCTGGGGTTCGCGGTTCCTGAACTCAGTCTGAGAGCTCAGCACCTTTTCCTCAAGGAAGTTCTGAAACGATAGGTGAACAAAAAATCTCAAAGCCAAAAAAACACACCGTACCATCCCCGTTGGTGCCTCCATGGGCCGCGTAGACTGCAGGTTACTGGTTGGAAGCTCCCCTTCGAGTGTGAGGCAGAGGTTATCCAACTCGGTCATCTAACACGTTCCGAATTGGGGCATACCCCGAGGGTCACTGAGGTCACCAGGGTTGAATCGTCATCACCATCGAGTGCAGCTCGAAGCTCTCTTGTAGGAGCGAAATCATCAGCATCAATGGTCTCCACTAATTGGCGTAGCCTCTTCCTGGCTCGGATTGGATCTTGGAGACATCCATTGGATTCATGCTTCTAAAAGGTCGGCTAATAGATCTCAGTTAGTCCCATGAGCTACAATAGGCTCACCCCGGCGACCTCGCTACTCTGCTCGCCATATCCTTCGGAAGCAGTCTGAAACATCACAGTCGCACTTGCTGTACTCGTCCTAACCCACCTGTCGCCTGAGCTCATCCGCGACCTCGCGTAGTTCATTGAGCTTGGATCCCAACTGGCTTCGACAACCTAAAACAAGCATTCCATCACTCTGATGACCTCAAGAGAGCCCACGCTTCTTAGTCTCGTCACGTTGTCGTCTGAGACGGTCTCGGAAGTTCCCTATCCCGGCCACCTCGTTGACGGCATCAAACACTCGACGTCTAGCGCCACGCTTCGCATTCCGTGTAATTCTAGAGCTGACATTTCTGATAAATCTGAAGAGCAAACAAAGCGCATGCTATAAATATCTTGAGCTCACTGCAATGAATTAGTTGACAGGGCTCCCTCGTCATAATTATGGACCTATATAAAGAAGAAGCCGGAATGCTTTCCCTGGTGCTTTCTCACTCACCTCTTGCATGTCGCCGTTCCTGGAACGGAGATCTGCAGTGGGGTCCTCCAGACGGTCTGAGACACAAAAGCTCATGCAGTCCAATCCGCAAGCGACTCACCCTTCCTATAATGGAAGACGCTGGGAGATGCCTGTCGGAGCTCCATGGAGGGAAGGGCACTCTCGGATTCGAGACTCGTCATGGCTAGAGAGCATTCCACTAAGAGCCGTCTCATGTCAGCTATGGCAGGCACGCAACTTCATCGAGGTGAACAGGGCGAGGGTGATACAAGTAGCGACTGTAATGCTAGGAACTACGATGAAACGAGCGGCTGATACTCCTCATTCCGCCGGGCACGCTGGTCCAAAACGACAAGTCACCGTGTAGACCGGCATAAGCAAGCCGATGGTATACGCCAGATACCGACGCACGACTGGCTCCGTAAGGACTGTACACGGTCGTTGTAACTGTGGAAGCGACTGTACCATCGACGCGTTGCTGAAGATGCCACAAGGGAGTGGCGAACATTGACGGCCGAGCTTGATACTGGAGGTTCCAACTACGAAATACTTGCCTCAGCTGGGCGTACTTGGCCAGACTCAGTCGATATATCGATATGGATACATGGCGATTTGAGAAGTTTTAACGTCAGAGTATATCTTCCCGTTTCAGATTCGTCCGTCCAAGCTCGCCCACCAAGAAGAAATAGGTTATTGTGCTCAGTAGACTCTTTCTGAGCTTCTAGAGTATACCTAAGAATGGATTCCAAGGTAAAACTCGATATTGGGATCGCTCTTTAAACTCAGGAGATGTCTATTGAACGCTGCGTTCTGTACGGAACATGCCCGCTCACTTCTCAAACTTGCACGGGAAAAGGTGTAGAACTTTTAAAGTCGGCAGCGAAAATTATCAACTGCAGTTTCAAAATTGGAAAAAAAGAACTCTCGGTTGTCTCCAAAGAATACCATCCGTAACAGATACGATAGCGGCACGGGCTACGGCAATGGCAGAAACCCAAATGGAGGGATTCGCAGAAATGCGTCCTCAAACAGCTGGGTATCTGCAAGTTGGGCCGAAATCAATCATGTCTGAGCTCACACTGCCGTAATGATGCGAGGTACGCGCTGTCATCATCATGGGCGTTTCTGAAGCCTCGCTTAAACTACACTCAAACTGTTTTCGAACTCATTGGATATAAAAAACTCTATTACCAACTACGGGAACTCTCTATCAACGAAGACGAGGTAAACGAACGCTCGAAATGACCATGACAGCCACTGTTTCCAATTGGATGGTCTATTTATCCTTCGCTCGGCTGTCGTCG